TCCCAGGTATCAAGAATGGACACTGCCAGAATTTTTTAGTGGTGGGGCGCATGCGCCAGAGCTAAAAAACCGATACCCCAAAATTGAGCTAGATCAGCTGGAAAGGAAACCTTCTGGCACGCATTGGAAAATGTTCAGCATAGTCCCAGGTATCGTGAATGGCCACTGCCAGAATAATTCAGTGGTGGGTGTATCCGCCAGACGCCCTCAACTGCCCCACCCCCAAAATTGAGCTAGATTAGCTGGAGAGAAAAAACTCTTATTTTTCCACATTTTATTGTGTATATTCTAAATTAATGTGTTGTCTATAATAGGTTATATAATAGGTGATGACCATAAAAAAATTTTAAGGCATAAAAACGTCTGCAGGCATGACTGTAACTTGTTAAGACTAATATAATTACTATTATCTACTGAGTTAGAGTGTAGGTCTAGTAGTAGACAGCGTCTATAGTAAGTAATAATCTATATACAGGCCAGAACAGAGGGGGGCAGGTAGGCCAGTTGGCATGGGCCTACGATTTTGAGGGGGCCTATACTCCCCCTGGTAGAGACTAAGGGGGGACCCTTTGGAAAAGAATATTAATATTGTAAAGAGAGTCAAGGGGGATCATTTTGCACAAAATATTTTTATTTTAAAGAAGAATCATAAACGATTACTACACATGTATATAAATGCATACATAAATCATATGTATTTAGCACTGATTACAATGAAACATAATGAGCATAGTAGCAGCAGCAGCGCAGCCGCCGCCACCCATTATTGACCCTGCTTCACTTCACCCCAGCCATTCAGTAACACTTTAATTCCGCATGTGACTATATATTATACGTTTTAATGAGGATGAATGATCGAAGAAGGCGGTACGAGCGACTCACGTCGTATTTCTTATCAGCGGTGTATAAGAATCGCACTGCTTTTTAATCAGTCGACGATAGTATGGATGTACGTCTAGCCGTTTATAATAGACATGTCGTACGCCTCACGGGTAAAGGCTTCGTCGTCCTCGGACAAATGTCGGCTGTAACAATTGCCGCAGCGAATATCGCGCTACTAATCGAACTATGTGACATTTCACTTGTTTCGCACTCACTTCATACCTCCTTGCCTATATGCGCTACACACACACACGCACGCGCACGCGCACGCGCACGCACACGCACACGCACACACACACACACACACACACACACACACACACACACACACACACACAGCACAAGAGAGAGAGAGAGAGAGAGAGAGAGAGAGAGAGAGAGAGAGAGGGAGATACACACACGCGTCCGCGCACACACACACGCACACACTCTCTCTCACACTCACGCACGCACGCACGCACGCACGCACGCACGCACGCACGCACGCACACACAGAGAGAGAGAGATACACACACGCGCCAACGCACACACACACGCACACGCACACACGCACACACTTTCACACACACACACACACACACACACACACACAGCGCCACACACACACACAACACACACACACACACACACACACACACCACCCACACACACACACACACACACACACACACACACAGAGAGAGAGAGAGAGAGATTCGAGAGAGAGAGAGAGAGAGAGAGATACACACACGCGCGCGCGCGCACACACACACACACGTACGCACGCACGCACGCACGCACGCACGCACGCACGCACGCACACACACACACAAATCCACTGGCAAACGTCAAGCGGGTTGACTGTGCTTTGCTCCCACCTTCTCGTAGAACCCTAGAGATGAAGGTACCACGAACACAGTATGTTACCGCGTTGTGGACACGTGCCTGGACAGCATCTCCTGGGGACGGTTTATCCCCAACCGATTATGGGTGGTCTCTGAAGGACAACCTATTGAAGCCAACATGGTTCGAAGGTCCGGCCGTACCAGAGAGCTTATTTAAAAATGTCAATAACAACCCAGAGGACATGGACGTTGAAGGTGACAGAACATATTCCGAGTTAGAAGTACTGAGCGATTCAGATGGTGAAGCATGGAGTGATGAAGACTCTGATGTGGAGGTGGAAGACGCGGAGTGCTTGTAGGAAACAACAAATTTTATAGAATGCTACGATCTAAAGTTTGGTCTATGTACAGCTCTAATATTGACATGGTCGAGAACCTTTAATTAGGCAACTTGTACTTTCACTTTGTCTGGGGGTCTGCAACGGGTAAAGTTAAGAAATCAAATATGATAAATGACATAAAACATGATGGTTTGAACTAAATTTGATAGTTGATTATTAAAATGGATTTTGATATACTTGAGTACTGAATGTAAATGAAGAATAAAAAATGTTTAATTACTGGATTGCTAAATTGGAAGGCAATAATGTGATTTGGAATTGTAAATGTATGCCATATGATGTTTCATTTTATAGAAATAAAATACCTTTGTGTTAATACCTTGTGATGATGACCTTGTGAGTAATATTTTTATTTTTATTTATTTGCCGTATGGCTTCATGAGAGAAACTGTTCAGGTGATTTTTCTTGTCCGCATGATTTTGAAGACACCTCTTCTTTTTCTTCCTTCGCATTATTAGTCCCACTCAAGTGGGGTCGCTGCAGTGGACTATACTCAGTATACTGTATATATAGCCACTATATATACACTGTATATGAGAAATGAAAGTGTAGAGAAGAAGTGCTTTATATAAGGGAATAATGCTGTTTCATCAAATCAATGTGTTGTACATTCGAGGTTTGTTGAAAGATTCTATTCTGCAAATTAACAACATGAAAAGAAAAGGTAGAGAAGCAAAGCTGACCGATGGATCAGTGGTTTCCTCTCCAGCTAATCAGAAGTAGATAATAGATTATCTACTTCTGAGCTAATCTATCTAAATAATGAAGGCCCGGGTGGGGGCAGTTAGGGGCGTCTGGTGGGCACACCAACCACTGAATTATTCTGGCAGTGGCCATTCACGATACCTGCGACTAAGCCGAACATTTCCCAGTGGGTTCCAAAAGGTTTCCTTTCCAGCTAATCTAGCTCAATTTTTTAGGGTGGGGCAGTTGGGGGCGTCTGGCGGATACACCCACCACTGAATTATTCTGGCAGTGGCCATTCACGATACCTGAGGCTATGCCGGACATTTTCTAATGGGTGCCAGAAGGTTTCCTTTCCAGCTAATCTAGCTCAATTTTGGGGTAACGGTTTTTTAGCTCTGGCGCATGCGCCCCACCACTAAAAAATTCTGGCAGTGTCCATTCCTGATACCTGGGACCATGCCAAACATTTTCCAATAGGTTTCATGGGGTTTCCTCTCCAGCTAATCTAGCTCAATTTTAGGGGGTGGGGGCAGTTGGGGGCGTCTGGCGGATACACCCACCACTGAATTATTCTGGCAGTGGCCATTCACGATACCTGGGAGTCTGGGACTATGCTGAACATTTTCCAATGCGTGCCAGAAGGTTTCCTTTCCAGCTAATTTTTCTAGCTCAATTTTGGGGTAACGGTTTTTTAGCTCTGGCGCATG